CTCTAGGGGTAAATGTCCAACGATGCAGCACGGTGCTTCTCCTTTCACAACAGCAATCGTGTGCTTGTCAAAAACATTGTCGGCCTCATGAGCTAGCACCGCACCACCACCGCACAAAACATCTGCAATCAACTTGAAGAAACATTCTCACTACCGTATAGACTTCATTGACCAGACACCTTGAATCAAATCAGCGTCGAACACGCGACACATTAACAATACACGATTACCCGTCGTTTGCAGCTTACCCTGTTTTTACAAGGCTAACGAAATACCATGAGAGAAACACAAAATAGGCCTAGGCCCAGTGATCGTGAAGACAGTAAACATCAAACTTTTAGGGTAAGCTTTTTTGAGTAGTATTTATTTCATTTCATATCAAAGAAAGCAGCACACAGTACGGTATTACTCCTTTTTATGGACTGGATACCCATGTTAATTGATTGGGCACTCATTGCAAAATGAAAAAAATTCAGAGGGGGCGTTTATTAGAAGAGGGGCGTTTATTAGAGACAATACGGTATATGTAGTAAATCAAAGATGGAGCCAAGCTAAAGCAGCGATAACATATTATAAATAGCAATGAAAAAACTGCCTCATGTATTTAGTGCAAGACTTGCGCGTTTGAAACCGCTCTCAAGCAGTGGTGGCGCCGGGGGAGGGGGGGCAAGGGCATTGCCCACCTGTCGGACAAGTCTGGACCCCCCTGACACCCGAAGAATGCCTAGGTCGTTGGACCAAAAATTAAAAAAAATTAGTATGAAGGTGTCGCTTTCCTACGCCATTATTTTCGGTTACATGATGGCGTGACATGCACTGCGCTGATGTGTCCATTTATTGTATTATATTATTCTAAAAGCCACAGAAAGGAGATGTTCTCCAAGACATTTTGATAAATACATAAGCTGTACTAGGAAACATTCTGGGGTTTGGTTGACAAACGAAACTTTGGGTAAATAACTTCACACTAGATCTTCTTACCATACACTGCAATATCCCAAGGACAGAGACATGACATTTTATCATCTTTTATGCAAAAAAAATATTTGTAATGGATTTCTGGTTGTAAAAACTACCTAAAGTGGCGGAAACACATTTATGGCCACCTAGAGGGATAGGTTATCTCAGTAAAATTTTTTCACACCTACCAGTTGCTTTTACTTGACACTATCTCTGAAATGGGAACTATAAACTTATATAAAATTATACAATTAATAAATATTACATAACAAGTTAAATGTATTGATTTATCATCATGTATAATGCCTGACAACTCATTATAAAGATATTTTGCAAATAATAGAAATAAATTAATATCAGTATGCTATAAAAATGAAAAAAAACCAAAACAAAACAAAACAATCTATTTATGCAAACCAGAGCCTTGCAGGCGTCAACGTTCCTATGCATGATACATGACTTTATCAGAAAATTTGTGTGGTGGTTTAACTTGAACAATTCAGGGGAAGTGAGTTATAATGGCCCAAAAATAGTGATTTCAGACCTCATTGGTAATGTTATTTGATAGGCAAATTACAGTAATATTTTTAGCACACCAACAAGTATAAAATTTTGTAAAATAAAAAAAAAAATATACCGTATATATATATTTTTAAAATTTCGTAGACCTAGCTAAGTATTTTCATTTTACAGTAATTTGGAATGATATCGGGGGTGGGGGAGCTGGCAGTGGCCTACTAGACTACAATATATTCAAAAATGGCTTGGGTCCAATCGTCTATCCCCCAAAGTTTTCATTGTAATGATCAAGAACGTATTTTACATATAAGATTATAACATGTAATCATTGATTAAACTATAGTATTAACGATCTACCACTCTCGCATCGCAGTAACTACTAACTAGGCCAGGCCTAGGCCTCATGCTTTGGTGGAAAAACCCAAGCTAGAAAGTTGTTGCAGTCGGCTGCCTTTATATCTACACTTGTCTTCAGTTTTCATTTAATTTAAGGGTACACTGCTACACAGGTGGTTGTCGGGAATATAGTACCTTCATATTAGTCTACGTTATACAGCCACTGCCCTGAATCCGCCATGTTAAACAAATAAAAAATAACCTGTGAGGCATGAAATGACGTTTGCAGCAAGACTACCTATACAAGAACAGAAACAATCGTTGATAGGGGATTTGCGATAAATGGAGATCAAATGAAAAAACGCTGTATTTTAGCAAGTGTTTAACACCTTTTTTAAATTTTAGCCAAAATGGCTGAAGCAGTTTTTTTTTTCTCGCCAATATCATATGTAATGACCTGCTAGATTTCTTAATGGTTTTGTTTCAGGATTATCACTAGAAACACTGTTCTAGAATCTTCAATTTTCAAGAGCGACACATAAAATTTAATCTTTACTAAAGCATTAACCCCAAAAGAAACACCTGTTCAGTAGGAAAACAAGGTCTTATTAAGAGGCTTACAAAATGGAATTGTTTTACTAATGAAAAAAAAGGTGTTTTATAGGAATTGGTGGCAAGCAGCTTAACCAAGTTGCTAGCGTCAAGGTACTTCACTATCATCTTTATGTTGACTACTTGCCAAAGTTTTGGTGTGCTACTTTTCTGCCTTTTTGGTGTTCTATCTCTTAAGATTTATGTAAATTTCATATCATTGATGGTACCACTTTTAATAACATAAAATTAGATTAAAAAAATATATATTAAACTAAAATGATTGGCAGTAAAATGTTATGATGAGTTTTTGGA